ATTCACAACACGTCATCTCAAGGCACTTTACAGTTCAACCAGATCATACAGTCAAATTGATGCAAAGTTTTCCATCTAAAGAAAACCAGTTGATTGCATCGACTCATTGACTCGAATGCAATCCCTCACACTAAGCATGCTTGTAGCGACAGTGGAGAGGAAAAACTCCCTTTTAACAGGAAGAAACCTCCATCAGAACCAGGCTCAGTGTGAGTGGCCATCTGCCGAGGTTGACTGGGGTTCAAGGAAGCAGCCCTTACTTGTCATCCAGAGTGGCCTGTAAGTAGAGCTCTGCTGCTCTGAAAACATCCAATGCACAATTCAAAGCAGGCTCATGTATGCGTACTCATATCTGTGTCTGAAAAGTGCAACGAGAGTCCTTTTCCATCAAACAGCAAGTTTTAATCCAGCCCTCTGTTTCAATAGCTGTAAAAGGAACTTTTCTAATACCATTTGTCTTGTTCATGAAAGGTTTAATCAGATAAAGCAATCCTCCTGAAAGAAATTTGCTAAAATTATAGGTTTATTTTATGTTTTAAGATTACATAAAACCCACGAACAGACATCGAGAAATCTCATCCATTCATAGCTAAACATAAATTCCCCTAAATATATCTGCTAGTTTATAATTTTCACTTAGTTACCTTTACCCTGCCATTCAAGAATGTAGGATCTGTTAAATCATGTTCAGCCTATTTATTAAGCTGAATGCACAAGTCAAGGCCAGCTATAAATAATCTCTTTTCTCATCTCTAACTCAATGGGTCAAGACCCTAACATTTTCCCTTTGAGGTAAAATCAATCCAATGGTGGCATTAATTACCTGCTATAGCAATCTGTTCCTCAAAGTCTAGGGAATAATCCATCATGGTTGGATAAAGGGTTAAGCACTCCCTCACTGACCTCCCCAATCCAAAGAAACAGGAGCTTCTATTCGTGACAAATGACTGTTGGCCAAACTAAACCAGAACACAGGGTATTTAACAACCCATGGAAATCAATTACAACTGATTGGCTGATAGCGGACAGGTCTGAATCTAATTAATCACTATTAAGGATTTTTTTTTATATGTTTATATCTTTGCAATATACTGACTTACTATACTTGCTATACTCTTATAGTAGTTTTAGTTTCCCTTTAGCTTTAGAGGTACTGATCCTCATTTTCAATAAAACTCATGGCATTGCTATACATTTGCAGATTTTAGGAGTTTTAAGATATTATTTAATTGATAACTCCTCCATTTGACCAACCTGCAGTGGCAGATGGTTTGTTTTGGGGGACCATCTGGGAACATGACCATGGAAAATGTGAGGAAAAGAAAAAAGGGACTTTAAAAAATACTTGGCAGGTGATTGAACAAACCATCTGTCTATCACTTTCTCACCAACATACGCGTTTGACCAACCAGATCAACTATCACAACCAAGTCTTTTAAGAATTTTGTGGAAACCAGCTGGAAAGCAATAAGACATTTAATCCAGTGCACCTAGAGAGCTGATATTACTGAACACAGCCTAAATTTTAGCAAGGCTCTAATAGTTTGTTCAGGAAAGAGACAAAATCAGTCAAATCCCACTTTTCATTAATATTTGTCCATTACTTCTACATTGTGATCCAATAAAAGGTAATAATGCCCTACCTGCCAAAAAAAGGTAAATTGTGTAATAAAAAGTTCAAATTGAAAAGAAAATAACATTTAGACAATAATGTAATAAATCATTATCAGGCTATTAGGGTAGTATCATGACAGCCTTTAAAAATGTAATAACTATGAATAATGATACTGGTATCAGGCCTGATACCACTGGCGTGTAATTATTTTTATATCCAGAAAATAAATTAGTTCCATGCTAATATCCTTCACCTTATGAATACATAGATGCTTTTTTAACCAAAACCTGGCTTTCTAAAACTGACAGTTGGAAAATTGAAGAAACTCTAAAGCAAGTCCTACAAAGGGCAGATCAAGTAATTCACTCTTCAAATAATCCACTCTATGTTGAATTTGAGCTACCGCCATCTGGCAGGGTTTCAGGCAACCAAAACCATGAATTAACAGATAAATAAAACTTAACTCAGACCATCCTAAAGGTATATTTTAAAGATAACTGGGCTTCTTTTGTTGTTAAGCCTGTCTTAACTGTTAGGTTTCTGTTTGTGGTGAATGTTTTTGTGTTTTCTTTTTAGTTTCTTCTCCTACCCACTAGATTGTGCCCTTTCCCCTGTTTGGCCTGGAGGGCCTCTTCCGGTCCCCTCCCCCCACACCTGCGGCTCGTTGGGTCATCAACAGAGGAGTATTTGAGCAGCGGACTGTCACCAGCTCGAGTGTTTGCAGGTATTGGGTACTCTAGCCTCTCTAAGTTTAGCTGAGTCTAACCTTTAGTCTTTGCCTCTGTGAGTCTTAGGTTTTTTACCTCTTTGTCTATTTGGTTCTCCGACAGGATAACCCCCCAATCCGCTGGATAAGCCTGGTCCTTCTTTCCTTGGAAGGAATTATTCGTCTCACATTGAGCAAGGGGAAACCTTGACCAGATCCGTTCAAGTCCTCCTCAAGAAAGTCTGACAGTCTGCTCCGCTGCTCCTCTGGACCCACCATTAATCTGCCTGTCCGCCCTCCAACAAGTAACCATCATCTCGGGACAATTCCCCCACAAACTGGACCCAAGGATCAATCAAGAACCATACTATGTGAGTCAAAACTGTTCCATTCATCTCCTTCCATCAATTTTCCTATGGACCATGAACTCATCACTGTGATCTCCCCCTAGAGTTTCTGGTTCCAGTTCACCTGACCGCAGGATTCCCCCATCTGAGAATAACCTGTTTTCTCTATCTCTCTCTGAGTTTTGTAAACCTCACCAATAAACTGTTAACTTTTTCCGTGCCTCTGAGTGGTTTTCTGCATGTGGGTTAGATCTTTGAGACCCATCATGACATTAACTGATACTTGTATACTGTATGTATGTAACTGATTATATTACAAAAAAGTAAAAAAAAAAAAAAAAAAAAACAATCCACTGGACTTTGTTTCCAAGTTTGAAGATGTTTCGTTTCCCATCCAGGAAGCTTTTCCAATTCAAAATGTAAGAAATACTGTTGAGTTCGAAGGCTTTATACAGTAGCCCAATAAAGCCTTGTTTTTGTTTAGAAAACCGGGTCCACACCTTTGAAATGGGGGTCGTTTGGCTTCTTTTGTTTGCCTGCAATGCTATAGTAAGGTATTGGGCATTGCAGGTTATCAAGAGAAGCCAAACTACCCCCATTCCAAAAGGGTGGATTCCTGAAAGTATTCCTGACATTGTGAATTGAAAAATCTTCCTGGATGAAATCCAGTGGATGTTTGTTTTTTGTTTTTTTACTTTTTTGGAATGACTATAGCCTGGATGACTGAGAATCTTCACCAGCATTGATTTTATTGTGATTGGTTTAGTGTGTGACCTATGTATAAGGGTATTGTCTTGTTTGATTTTCTCCTTCCAACCTGTAAGGACAATTTCCTAAAGTCTACACAATAAAAATTATTCTGATACAGATACTGAAAAAGTGCTGAGACACTTAAGGACCCGATACTAATTTAATTTTCCCTCCAACAGCCAGTTTTAATGTAGCCCTTTAAATGGTTGTGATATAAAAAGGCAAGCCACAAGAAGCAAAAGTGGGGGTAGCCGGAAGAAGCAGCCCCCACTTATCTACAGAGGCATCTCCGGGTTAGTATGGTACCTGGAGTGCTCTGTAAGCAGAGCTCTGCTGCTCTAAAATCTTCCGAAGCAAAAGTCAAAGCCGATTTGTTGCTGATGAAGATGAAAAAGGTATGCTCTAAAAAGCTGTAAAAAAGGAGTACAACAAAAAACGCATCTCAAGTGTAACAGACCTGTTGAAAGTCAACAATTCTTTGAATATAGGCGAATGTTAACTAAGCTTGCATTAAGTATTCTTTTTCTCTGTAATGGCAAGAACAAAGATTTCAGTAAAATATATCTGATATCAGTGCATTTTTGTAATAACTTAGTTACAACTTAGCAATAACTTATTTAAAAATACATAAAAATGGAAATTCAGTTTTTGAGAATACATATTTTTTTAGCAGTTTCCATAGTAACAGGCATATTAAATACACAAGTTAAATATATTTTCTGAATTAGTGCTGCAAAGTCCAATAGGTTCATCTCTTGTACAAAGGCACATTCTAGAACACAGGAAAAAGAACCAGGGCTACATGACCTAGATGCTTTTAAAGGAATTGAGAAAAATTTCTTAAAAGAATAAATAACTAAACAGTATGAATAGCAATTTGAAAAAATAAAAATAATCCATGAATCTATATTTAAACCTAATCAGAAACTGTGGCAGTTGAACAATCACTACTAAAACTACAGCAATAGGTGACTAAAAACGATTTAAAACAAAATTTGCCTTGGATGTGTATAATGATAGGCCTAGCTGTAAATGGTCCATCATATCTCTGAAAGAACTGTGATAGAAGCCGATAGAGGATTCCTTTGTATCAAGTAGATTTCTACAGACACGTGGTGTCATTACAGCAAAACAACCTAATGATTTTTTATTCAAAAGTTCAGAAAAGGTCTGACAGAAGTAGCCTACAATAGTTAGCAAACATAGCACACTTACAGTCGTTCTTTGCAGAGGTATTAGTTGAGGTCTGAACTTTGAGAGATTAATGAGATGGAGGACAGAGTTTAAGTTGACAAGGCGTGTCTGTTGCTTAACATTGCTGACAACAGGGAAAAGGGTCGGCACAATAATTACGATGAGGAGGAAGAAATGGCAAAGATTAAAGCAAGTGTTTAGGTGGTTATCTAATATCACATGCCAGCTGCATTAAGCAAAGTTTCGATATTTAAAGGTAATCAAAGATTAAAAGTTTCCTGTCTGGGACATTTGAGCCTGTTTTGTGTCGCACTGGAATTAACAAGCTTGTTGGAATAAAAACCAACATAAAGCCTTACAATCTATTTGCAGGAAAGCGAAGGCCTACCTTTGCGATTTGGACACACCAGTTGAGCAGCAGCTGCGATCCGATGTTGTCCTTGTGTTCGTGCACGTAGTCCAGGAGGCAGCCGTGGGGCATGAGCTGGGTCACCAGCTGGATGGTGGGACTCAGGCAGACACCAAGGAGGCGCACCAGGTGGGGGTGCTCCATGCTGGCCATGATCAGGGCCTCCTAGGTGAGATGGGACAAGAAGACACAGAGGGACTAAATGGGATGGCAGCGGACGCTTCATTTGCTTTTGTTAGATGTGCATCATTTCTTCTTGTTATGCCTTTTTAAAATGTTTTTTTTTTAAATATATATTGTAATTAAATTTAATTTCCAAAAACATAATAAAGTATATTGCTTGAAAATATAGCTATAAAACAAATGTTTAATTATTTATTTATTATTCCTTAATATCCAACTTTTTATGCCTTAATTGTTTATTTGCACTAATGTTGAGTTGTTTTTAATTTTGCTGATTTTTTTTTTTACAATGACAAAAACAGGAGCAATGATTGGTATAAACTGTCCTTAAAAATAATTAATTAAATATACTACTAATAAATACATGTAAAAAGCCATTAACACTTTCCACCAAATTGCTGACATGCAGTAAGAAATAAACACATTATTTGGTTGTTTCTTTTAAAACATTGTATGGTTACACTTTTTTATGCACTTATTTTTTTGTCTTCCAATTGAATTTCTTTACGTAGGGTTACAGAAAACTTTCCATTTCTACTGGTAATAACACTAATTAAATGAACTTGCATTTTCTAGAGTACTCAAGTATTACCACAAAATTTCTTTTTCACTGATTGCCCTTTAGGTGTCAATAGTTTATACAGTAGCTTCATCTTTCTCCCTTTGATAGGAAGTTTCATTGACCAAGAAGCTTTGGTGTTTAACTGTCTCTTTTTTTAGGTGGAGTTGTTTGTTATGGTCACTGACCTCTAGGAGCTCTCTTCATGAGAGACCTCTCTCTTTGTGTTTCAGGTCTACCTGGCTATTACAGGTGCAATGTGTTAAAGCTCGTCTGTCAACCCATAAAGAGCTTCAAACCTGAGATGTTTCTCTTATTTCCTGGGCCTTGATCTGTAGTGATCTTGTTTGTGGGCCCTGTAGTGTTACTGCGTGTTTGAACAATTGGCTAACTAAAGCATTTTTCTGTTCACAGTGGAAGCTGGTAGGGGTTCTCTGCCATTTTTGTTTGACTGTTTTCTCCTCGTTTCGTGGTTAGCCAGGGAGTTCAGGTATTGTACTTTCTTTTCACTTTATAGACTGTGTTTGCCTGTCTAGCTCAAGCCTCCCTCACCTTGAATCTGGCTAAATGTGAGTTTGCCAAAGCTATCTGGTGAAAGGAAATAGGCCATGGCCAGGTATGTCCCGTGAATGCAAAGGTTGACGCTATCCTAAGCTACCCTGTGCCCACCACAAGACGTGAGCTTTGGTGGTTCTTGGGTTTGGTTGGTTATAAAGATGTTTCTGCAGGAACTTCTCAATGGTGGTGGCTCCTCTGACAAAGTTGTATAGTCCAAAGGAACAATTATGTGGACCGCTGAATATCAACATGCATTTGACTGTGCGAGGTCCTTTCTATGCAGCGCTCCTGTATTGGCAGCTCCGGATTTTAGCGAAGTGGACGCCAGCGCCACTGGGGCTGGAGCAGTGTTTCTCCAAGATGGAACCCAGTCACCCAGTTTCCTACTACTCAGCTAAGTTCAAGCCTCATCAATTAAACTACTCTAAAATTGAGAAGGAAACATTGACCATGCTGCTGGCTTTGCAGCATTTTGAAGTTTGTGGGTTCAACAAGTCCTGTTATAGTCTATAGTAGTATTGCGCCGATGCCATTTTTTGGCCCCGATACCGATACCCGATACCTGGCTGTGCAGTATCTGCCGATACCGATACCATAATAATGTAAAATAATTGCCATCATGGCTTTGTCAAGCTGCTGCCTTCCTTTGTGAAGCAGGAAAAATCTAATACAAAGTGAATCCAGTAGAACTTTTTATTGCCTACCAGGAGTGGGTGACAATAGTTGAATAAACTTTGGCTCTCACCATTTTAGGGCAGTATCGGGGCCCCGTCCGATACTGGTATCGGTATCAGTGCAACACTAGTCTATAGAGACCATAATCCAGTAGTCTTCCTGAACCGTATGTATAACCACAGCCGGTGGTTAATGCGGTGGGCCTTACTGGCCCAAGAATATAATCTGGACATAAGAGGGGCTGATAACGTGATAGCTGATGTACTTTCCAGGATATAATGCTGCTTACCTCCCTATAGTACGTATGATGCTGAAATATTATTTCATGAAGGATTTTATTGGGCAGAGTGTTACGGTCACTGACGTCTAACACTGTTAAAATACAAGTTTAAACAATCATTGCTTTAAGCTGTCTAAGAATTTTGTTCCTTTTTACTCAAACTTTTAGACATTGACACAAAAAAAAACTAAATATTGCAAATAATTGTGTGTACTGTGTTTGATAAACATGCCCCCTACCCAATATATATGTTTTAACTGGGGTTTTTTCAATAAAGAAAACACGTGTGACAATACGATAAATCCTGATACATTAACAAAGATTTTTATAACAATATACATCTGGAAAGTATCCCATCTTGTTGTTGCCCTGCTGCTGGTGCAGAGCAGCTTAAAAAAGGCTATACACACATCTACTTTAATGATGCAAATTTGGTGAGGGGGAAATCATGATAAAAGAAAACACAAATTTTGAGATTAATTTTTTTTTTTTTCAGTTTTCCTATAAACATCTAACCTTAATAGAGGTTTATTCTTTTTTTCATAAATCAGATGTTTAATTTAAGTCTGGTTCAATGTATTGGCTATAATTATCAAAAAACAATTTAGAGTTGGAGTGAGATCCCTAACTCCAAACATCTGGGATCATCAATACCTCTGCATGCAGAACATATGTCAAGAAAACTCAACAGAGGGGGAAATCTTGAAAGACTCTGTCTTCAAAGTCATACAAGCACAACCGCTTTCATCTAAATTTTAGCAAAGGAAGATGTTACACAGACACATTTAGAACACCAGAGATAGAGATGTCCAGCATGTTGCTTACGATCAAAAACTCCTTTCTGTCTTTTCTCTATCACTCTTGTTTCATTTTCTTGTGCACGTGTACTCTCCTAATCACACTCTCCCCCCCTCCTGCTTCCCCTCTCCGCAGCAGATGAATGTAGAGGTTTGAACAGTTGGGGCTCGGAGTTGGGTAATTGTCAAAGCGGAGCTGAAAAGCAGAAGGACGCGTGGTGGTGATGAAGTGTTATGATTGCAAAGACGGGTACTTGTGGCAGAAGCTGCGATTGCAGTTGTTGGGGGAAGGCACTTGGTTTAGCTGCTCTCATCTCCTTGTGCCTCTCTCTGACTCTCTTGCTCAGATTCAAGCATGGAGGCACAGTCCCTAGCCAACTCTTTGCAACACTCAAGGACACACGCTGGCTTTCTTTGCATATGGCAAATGGTCAAGAAGGTGGATATCCGGGCTTGGCCCTCAGGGCAGCTGACAAATGGATGAGGTCCTCTTTAAAATTTATATACAGAAAATTGATCTTAGAGGGAGAGTGGACTAAATTACTTCGAACCATGAGCAGGGAGACACGTGCTGTCATGATGTTTTTCAGCAACATTAGGAGCTTTCTGTTCAAGAAGGGGTTGCAACATCTTCACAACATAAATCAAGTTGCTACCTTATGCAGACGACTCAACGCTTTACGCAGAGGACTTCATGCTATTCGCAAAAAACTCTGTGCTTTACACAGACGACTAAGCTTTTAGCAGACGAGTGCACGCTTTACTTAGTAAACTGCACTCTTTACGCAGACGACTCAGCGCTTTACGCAGAGGACTTCATGCTATTCGCAGAAAACTCTGTGCTTTACACAGACGAAAACTGGACGCTTTACGCAGATGACTCTATGCTTTATGCAGAAAACTGGACGCTTTACGCAGGTGACTCTATGCTTTATGCAGAAAACTGGACGCTTTACGCAGGTGACTCTATGCTTTATGCAGAAAACTGGACGCTTTACACAGATGACTCTATGCTTTATGCAGAAAACTGGACGCTTTACGCAGATGACTCTATACTTTATGCAGAAAATTGGACGCTTTACGCAGATGACTCTATGCTTTATGCAGAAAACTGGATGCTTTACGCAGATGACTCTATGCTTTATGCAGAAAACTGGACGCTTTACGCAGATGACTCTATGCTTTATGCAGAAAACTGGACGCTTTACGCAGATGACTCTATGCTTTATGCAGAAAACTGCACTCTACGCAGATGATTCTATGCTTTATGCAGAAAACTGAACGCTTTACACAAACAACTGCACCCTTTACGCAGATGACAGCAAACTTTTCACAGAAGACTCCACACTTTACGCAGACCTCTGCATGCTTTATGCAGACTCCAAACTTTCAGCCAGACATTAGATCAGGAGAGGAAGACAAAAGTAAGGCTTAACGTTTTAAGTCTTTTTCTTCTGTCCCAAGAGTCATAAACTATGTCCGGTTAAATCTTTTTCTACTCTGTGGGCAAACGTTGAGGACTCCTGAAAGTGTGTGCGACATTTTGTGACTATGTGTGTTTTGCTTTCTCTCTCATCTCCCTGAGCGCTGACCTCCATTACTGCCAGCTGACCCGACTTTCCCCATTCCGCTCCCTGGCTCACTTCCTCCACAACACACACACACACATTTAGGGCATATATGCTGAATGATAGACTAGCAGAAATTTGCAAAACTCCTGCATGTTTCTGGAAGTCCCTATCTCCATAGGTGTGATTTAAATTACTGTATTTCAGTTATTAAATAAACACTTCTGATTTATATTCACTAACACAAGCGAACCACACTACATATTTTACATGCAAAGCCCTTGGAGGCTGTACACCGTGATGGATCTACTCTTTGCATATGAGTGTGAGCGTGCCCGTGCGCGCGTTTTTTGTGGATTTTCTGAGTGTGCTTTGGAGCCGGCACTCCAGTGGCCAGTTTCTCTGTGGCGAAGCGTGAGCCTGCCTTTAGATTGCTGTTTAACAAGCCAACAGACAGAGCATATTGGCTCTGGATGGACAGATACCCTCCCCACCCCCGGGGAGAATGAGAGAAAGGAAGCAAGCAAAATGCAGTGATAAGAAAA